AAGAGAAATACGAAGTAGATAAAGAATAAAAGAGAGAAAACTAATTAAGCACTGACCTCGAGAAAGTCCTTCACCGTGGTGTCGACGACCATAAGAGGTCGTTGGATCAAGTGGATCACACCGTTGCGCACAGGGATGTTCGGTTTAATTATTTCTGCCAGCACAACTCCAGTTGGATGTCCCGCGTCACCGACCAAAGTGTTCGATTGTACGTATACTGAAAATAATACGCGTTGCCAATTATAATTAAATCAATGAATCATCTCATTACATGAGCTTGAAATTTAAATATTAGATATATACATATATTATATTAGATATTTAATTTTTTACCTTTATCATGCTCCTTGAGGAAACTAACGGTGACTTTAACGTTATCAGAGAACGCAAGTGTCTGATAAGGTACATTGTGAGGCGTAGGTGTCGTGAAGAGGACGTGGTTAGGTATTACGTGGCCATCGATTACCACACGGTCAACCTTTTCCGGCCTAGGTGATGGCTGAAAAAGAATAGTAAAAATTTAAATTCAAATTTTCCAAAAGAGAAATATTTAATAGCCTTCAACAGGATATTTTCTTCAACAAAATATTCCATGCATACTTTTACACAAACAGTGTAATTAGAAATTGGATAAGGATGGTTTTCTTTACCGAATTCTCGCTTCAATTCTCACACTGATGTACGTCTACTAGGAAAATTTATCAATTTATTTTAAAATAATCCTGAAAGACTTTCCGGATTCACAAGAGCTCTAAACTCTACAGATTCTTTCATTCTGTACAGATATTCCTTTCGAACTACATATTCCTCTATTGTTATAAATTTCCGCTTAAAAAGATTTCCACCGGTTATATTTCCCGAATCCCTTGTCGTCTATTGATCGGTTTTCCGATCGAACAGGTTTTGGACCGTTCAATTTCCCGTTTCGCGTAGATTTCTAGAATTTTCAGCTCCGTCCTGAACGCGTATTGAATTGGAAGGGTTTTCGGTTACTCGGATCCTCGATTGCGCATGTTCCAAATTATTCGGCTTCCTGACTATACGAGTTTTGCATTGCCCGGTCCTCTGATTGCGCCAGCTTCTTGATTGATAGGATCCGCGATGATACAGATTGCCACCTATACGAATTCTAGACGCCCTATGCGGACGCCTGATTGTACGACAATGAATTCACGATAAGGGAGAGAAAGCCGATGATTCTCCGATATTTGATTTCTAATTACTCCATTGTTGGTCCTCTGATTAATTTTCCATCGGCCGTGTGTTTCCATTCACGTTTGATCAATTTTTGATATTTGATATTTTACGTTCTGTCTATATTTTAATATTTTTCAATTAAAATTAGAATCTATCGGTAATTAAATAATTTTTTTATATAAAATCATAGCTAATTAGCCATATATTTCAAATAATTCTCTCTCAAGCGATAATAGAATCATTATCAAAATATATCATTTAAATCATTCACAAAGCACAAATATGTGTATAATATTGCGTACAGGTAACATAATAGTTTACTTAATTATTAAAATAATGGTTACAAATTATATTTGCATAATATTCATTATACCATTCAATAAATATATAATAATTAAAATTATTTAAAGAAAAAAAAAACCAGAGAAAAACAAGACAATAGCATTCCAAAAAAAAACGCATCTCTATTATCAAAATTAACAAAACAAATTTTTCCTTCATTCATTTATTTTTAAACAAAATATTCGATCCTGAAATGAATTCGCATATCCAACAACGAGCACTCGTTAAATCCTATCACGCGTAACAAGACAACACGCACCCCCTCCTCGCGGAAACAATATCCTCCCCCAAAAAATCGCATCGTTCTCGAGAAATACTCTTTTTTAATTCATTTAATTAACCGGTCGATAAGGCATCGCGTCTCATTAATTACTTGCACTTTCTGGCTGAAACATTTCAACCCTTGTCCCACCCTCCATCTCCTCGGGATTCCAGCCAGCCCCAGGCCTCGCAGTGTCCATGTAAACGGCCCCTAATGCGGTGTAATCGCGTAAAACCGCGGAGGCGGACGGCCACTACGTCAAAGAGGGAAGGACGAGGGTGTGGCGTTACTGGTGAGGGGGGGAGTAACCGGGGGCAACGAGACGGATAAGAGCGCGAAATATAAAGGTTGGGGACCCGTTGGACCGATGATTATACACGTACCCTCGTTATCGACGTGCCACCGGTAAAGGTCATTTCGCCAGAGGAAGGATGAGAGGCCGAACGATTGATTTCCGATTCCCGTGATAAGGCACGACTAACACCGTACTGGTGGAGTCGTATTAACGCCGCCGCCCTTCCACGCTTGCAACCGTGCCGTGTTCTCGCGTGACAAAGATAAAGCGTGTCGTCTGTTTTCCACGATCGAGATTCCGTGGGTTGGCTGCAGGCAGCTCGTTAACGCGCCTCGATCTCTCCCACGGAGGGAGAGAAAGGATGGATAAGGGATGGATGGTAACGGGAGAGGAAGGAGTTGAAACGAGGAGGAGTTTCGAGTTTTGGTCGTGGAAGAAATGCCTCGGGGGTAGGTTTTGTACCGATTCGACACTTGGTTGATTCCTTTTTATGGTTCCTTGGTTTTGTGCTCGAAAATGTTTCGCGTTTTATTAGATTTGAAAAAAATTCTGCAAGAATTCTTTTTTTTTTTGGAAAGGAGCTTTTTTCTTTGATTAAGTTTCATAGATAAAATAGAATAATTGTTATAGAAATGCGTTTTGTATTAATAGATTGTTCAAATTTGTAAGTTATGAGTAGATTCTTTTCTATAATTTTAGCATTTTAAGCGAAATAGAATAATCAGATAATTTATAATTCATTTGTACGAACTGTAATTTTTCATCATCAAAATATTTTATGCGGATTCTAAATATTATTTAAATAATTATTTACAAGTATTTATAAAATCATTATTCTTTAAAATTCATCATTAAAATTCCAATTACAAATATCAAACAATACAAAAAAAAGAAAAGAAAAGAAAAGAAAAGAAAAGAATTCGAGGACCGCAATCAAAATCACTTTTAGTCACTCACTCGCTAGTCAATTCGATTTTTGTTCTATTATCGAATTTTCCTTCTTCCATCTACTTTGCATCCACTTTGTCGAGATATAACTCGAAGCAACGGAATTTCTCCAAGCAAGTAGCGATGCAAACCCATCGTACGAAATCTCACCAAGCTGTTCGCTCTTTCGTTCTACGTCGCGATCACATCTTCAAGATGAACAACTCCCATCCCTCGACTTCTCGCTTTGCACTGCAAGTTTGCACAGAAACTCCTTAATAGCAACATTATTCCAAGATGCGAACATTCACCGGTTCAAGAAATTTATTTTATCTTTTTCTCTCTCTCTCTCTCTCTCTCTCTCTCTCTCTCTCTCTCTCTCTCTCTCTCTCCCTTCTTTTTTTTCGATTCGACCGATTTCTCTGGCATTTTCCGACATCGTTGCACCAAGACTTTATTTCTTCCTTCCTCCCCTTCCCCACTTCGTTCGGATTCTTCTTTCAACTAATTCCGGATGCAGCGAGCAAAGCTGTACGTGCCTGGAAGATTCGCAGAATTATTCACGATATCATGTAAGATGTAATCACGTAACGCAGCTACCGACGAAACGATTTTGTTCTTTCTCTGTTTTTCTCGTTCCTCACCATCGTGGAGGGGGGAGGGGAGAGGAGGGGGAGAGGGAGGGGGGAATTGCTCGTACCGGCACCCCAAGAAATAAACTTCTTTGTTTCCTTATCTGACCGACCGCCCACACCGCCATTCCTTTACATTTTTTTCTACGAAAAAAAGGAAATAGAACGGCTAATGATTAATTGTCATGCTGATTCTGAAATATACTTAAATACACGTGAAGAATATTTGAAATATATATATATATATATATATATGTGTGTGTGGTGATATTAATTAATGATATAAATTAATAGGTAAGAAGGAGATTTTACTAATATGGGAATATCTTGTTTGTTATTATCTGTGAATTAATAGGTTGTAAATTTGAATTATTTGTTAAATAATAAAAAGTAGTAAATGTTTTTAATCGAATGATTTGATATACTCGTAAACTTATATAGCCTGTAAAATTTATAGACGGAATTAAAGTTGCAAAAAATTATAATAAAAATTGTTCCACAGGCTTATGATTCTCTTTATTGCATTCTCTTTATTGCATTCTCTTTATCTTATTATTGTATCTTTCAAAACATGGAAAAATTTAATTAAAATTCTATTATTTTTTTATAAATGTTTTTTTGCAAAACGTTTTGAAATTTCAAGTTATTCGTATTCTTTTACAGGAATTAAGAAATTCCTTACAGGAATAAAAGAAAGCTTCAAATTTATTTCATTTCTATATGTAGATTCTTTGTAATTAGGTCATAATTTACATCTTATTCTACTTTATAATTTATCTGAATTACCAAATTCTTCGTCTAACATTACATTTATTTATACTTCACCTAACTTATAAATCAAATCAACTTTTCATTCAGTCAAAAATTCATCATCTAGAGAAATTATTTTCCTTAACTCGATTAGTCACAAATATTATTATTGAATTTTTAATAGAAAGTATAAAAATAAAACTTTTCTTAATAATAAATCATTAATTAAAATAATTCAAATTACGTCCAAATATCCTTTCCTTTCCTTTCCTTCTTTCATTTCATTCACTTCTCATTACCACTTTCACCATTCTCCGCTCCATCGGCGTTGATCCTCTCCTTTCCCTTAAATATTTTTCCCACACCCACACAGTTTTCTCAACGATTTCCCAAACGAACAATCGTCGACTATTGCTTCGTTTCCCGAAAACGAAGGCCATTCGAGCGAACCGCCTCACCGTTATTAATTCAACCCTTCGTCCATCCCAACCCCTTGGCAAGGATAATGACCGCGTTGACGATCCCACATTCGAGGCTAAGAAAAGCCATGGTTCCTTATGTCCTCCGGCATCGAGGCATCGATTGGAAAAAGTCCCAACTCGAAATGCTTTTCGATACGGTTCGATCTCTCTCGTGAACGAGGCTTTTGTGCGGCGAAACTCGATTCTCCTACCCTTTTCCTTTATATCCTGGCACACACCTGGCCGCAAATATACATTGTGCAATCAAGCTACGAATACGTATCCGATACCGTGAACACGCGACTGGCGAATTTCTAGGAAAGCGCGATTTCCATGTATAATTTTTTTTTCCCTCGTAGATATATTTTCCATATATAGAATCTCCCATCATCGAGTATTTCTATTTTTTTTTTCTCCTTTTTTTTCCAACGAATTTTGTTGATTTTTCAAACCGTAGAATTATTTTAATTTCAGCTATCGCCGTGCCGCGATTTTATAGATTTTTAAAATTATTCGTTTCTATCTGGAACGAGGTTGTTTGATGGAAGATGTTATCGATTTTAACGTTTTTTTTTTCTGATTTTGTTTTTCGAGGGGATTATTAGAAAATTTATACATGTGGATTGATGAAAGTCGTTTAATATATAAAAATTCTTTTTGATATTTTTGATTAAGATATCGAAATAGAATTCGGGATAGAAACGTTCCTCGAATATATTGCCCTAAGAATTTTTACGTGACGAGAAAGTATAAATGCAATAGAGAAAATATATATAAAATAATGGAAAAATATATTTATGAAATGTAAAATAAAATAAAATAAAACAGTTTGTGTAATATATATATATCTGAGAGGGAATTTATCAATTCATCAACTTAATTATAGATTCTTATGATATCGTGTGATCTATAATATACGTAATTTTTCTTCTTTTTCTAATATTATTTCATAATATCAAAACTTTTCATTATATCTTCTCTGTCGTATCTTAATTATCTTATTCTTATATACATCACGTAATACGGACTATTTTTCTATTTAATAGCTCATGTAAGTCAATTGCAATAATAAATTTCCTCCATTTTTTTTACAATTTTCTTTATTCTTCTTTCTTTCATATATTCACTAATAATGAATGTAAAACTCGAACTCAACTTCTGCATCTTCAATATTTTCTTCAATCTCAATTTTCTTTAAAAAATTATCAAAAATATCTATCGAACTTAATCTATACCTCTTTCGAGGGATCTCTAAATCTATCTAACTTCAACTTTTTACCGCACACCATCACAGACTTTCATTCATCGACATCACAGATCGTTACACAAAGTTTCATCAACTCCACTTTGCGAAAAGTCTAGTTCCGCTGGTCTAGATTTCACACCCGAAGTTTGATCACGTGATCCCCCGTGTAGCCCGATCGAACGCACGCGACTCTAATCGCGGAAATTACGAAAAACCGGAGCAGGAAAATTACCGATCGTATCTCGCTAGTTCGCTACCCTCCTCAGCCGTGTTATTAACTCGGTTCCTCTATTATATTTTAACGAACTCGTACACAGTGTGCAACCGATTCAATGTAATCTTGACGCTCCTGTTTAGCGTTTCGCCGATTTTCAAGGGGATAAGAGCGATCAAGTTTAATTGACCGACGCTGGTAACCAATGATTTTATGCATGGATCGGTTCGTTACTCTTTACGGTATAAAATACGGTTGTGACGAGAGTTCGTTTTTGTGGAAATATGGAAAAATTAGTTATATATCAAGTTCATCTTAGAATCGTTTTAATCGTTATAAATATTGTTCACTTGAAATTTTCCTTTCCTTTTTCTTTTTTTATTTTTTATTTTTACACTTGTAGAGAATCACTTATTCGAGAATCGTATTGCAATTTGATTAAATCTCATTGTCAGTGTAGTTTATAAGTTTATGAATTGCAGAGAGAGAGAGAGAGAGAGAGAGAGAGAGAGAGAATCGTAATTCGAATGAAATATTCATAAAATACAAGATAGAATAAAATATTAACGCATTCACGGTTCTCTGACCTGTATAGCCAGATATATTCCAGACTCAAATATCTGCTAACCCTCTAACTTTCGGGTTTAAATTGATATATGAATAATTAAATTATCCACGCGGATATCACTTTTGTAGGTGAAAACCACGTCTTTGGTTGGACTGTTGAACATGTGAACATGTTACGAACTGCGAACATGTACAACGTGTATGAAGTATAAAGTATGCAGGGATTGAAATACGTTCTAGCATTTAAAAATTCCTCTCCGTTCAAAATTTGTAATATAAAAATATATCATTTCAATAACAATTGTCATCGGTGTACAGTTATTGGGAATGATAGTTGATGAGATATTTTTGCCATGATAACCGAATTAGCCCCACATGGATTTCGGGTTCATCTCGTGAATGCAATCGATCAAAATATGTCACTTCCGGGTACGAGGAGAACGAGTCGGCATAGCCTGAATCCTTTCAGGGGTTCGCAACAGGGGATGATATTAAGGTCCTTTCGGGATGATCGATATGGGAAGGTTGCTAAGCAGCTTACCCGGAAACCCTCCTCAACGGGGATAAGAAAGGTGTAACGTCCGTCCGCCTTGAAGACATCCTCCTTCTTCTCCGTCAAGATCCTCTGCCGAAAGATGCTGTAAGAAAGTTGGACTCGTTAATTCGAACGCAATATATATATATCTTCTGTGTACATACGCCCATTGTGTACACAAGAAACTAAAATAGAATTATTTCGTGGCGTGAAACGAGAAATAAAATCATTTCGAAAAAATTGATACGTATAAAATTCTATTTTGAAGAGAAAAATAGTAGTAGTAGAAATATGTACGAATACAAATTTTGTCCGACGAAACGATCATTTTAAATGGAATTCGTAAAAAATGTAATTTTATTTTTCTGTTTGAAAAGAAAATATTGAGAAATAAGATAAGAGCGAAGATTTATACGATAAAGTAAAATATACAACAAAATATAAAAGTACAATAAGTTTCTTTCTCTTTTTTTTATTCTTTTTCTTTCTTTTTATAGTTTCGCAAAAAATTATTACGAGATGAAAAATAATAGGAAATAACTTTGCAAGGTTTTTTTTTACAATGAAAGTTAAAAGTTTAATTAATTAATTAATTCTTTTCTTCTGTTAACGAAGAGATCGTGATTTTTGACCTATTTAATTCGAATATTAAAAAAAAAAAAGAAAATATTTTGACAATATCGTGAAAATTTACAGTGAAAATAAGCTTTTTCTCGTTGATTCTCGTTAATTCCATCGGATGGATCGATGTTTGTTCATAACGAACAAAATTAGCGCCATATAACCATTTATCGAGTCTAACTCGAACATCGTAACGCGCTTCTGTTTTTAATTGCATCGAATCCGATGATGAAATTAAAGGGAATTAAATTAAAATGTGAAAATTCACGGGCGAGGGATGATGAATTCTCTGGGAAATGATTTATTAACAAAGTTCTCGCGAAAGTATATATGGAAAAAGTTGGCCGGAGGTGGGTGCGCGCTTTACGTTGCACGAACAAGCGGAAACGGTTGTTCGATGCGCGCGAACGGTAAATGAAATGCAGCGAAGCTTAAAGAACTTTCGGAAGGGTGAAGCTAATTCACTCAAGTTTTACTTACTCAGATGGCAAGCTCCAACGGCGTCGAGCCTTTAAATATCGATAAAGACTTGACAAAGTGAGCATCGAAGTTACTTAGGGAACAACTACGGGAACTTGGTTCCATCTTCATCTTTTGGCGAACGTGAGCGGACTTTGCGGAGTGTATTTTGCTCGCGGAAAAGAAACTGTGCCGGATAAATGATAAAAACGGACCGTGGGATAATATGGAAAATGGATAAAAGATATTTATTAATGAAGAGAAAATTAATTCGTTCATTACGTACGAATTTTCATTATTTTTATATGGAAATAATATGTATCTAGAATTTAAAATATTTATATTCGATCGATATTTCTAAAAGTTATTTAATAATTGGTTTAATGTTAATATGAATGGACGTTTAAATAAGTAAGTTAAGATTTTTTTCCAAATTTTCAAAATTCTACGAAAATTTAAGAGGGATAAAATGAATATGTTTTAAATTTTAATATCAGAGAAATTAATTTAAATATTCATTATAAATAAGGATATATATTCATTGCCAGATTGTACGTTATGTCTCGTTCAAGGAAAGTTTTGCGAGAAAATATATTATCATCTTATTTTCACTCGAATGTTATAAATCATAGCGAAGAAAAAACTTTTACACGATTAAAAATTAAAGCTAAAATTTCTACTTACCGAAGACGATGAACACCCAAGTCAAGATTTTCACTTTGATTGAGAAATTCGAAGGCGTTTGGACTATAGATCGGCAGTTCCATTGAATTCGAACGTACTGGTTCCAACACTTCGTTTATTATGTGCAAAACCTGCAAAATAATAAAATAATATATTAAACAAAAATTTCATGTGACGTTATCAAGTCGAGGAATTCGAAGAATTTGAGGGATTCGAGAAGAAAAACTTATCACAAAAATAAGTTATTGCAAAAATAAAATATAATAGAAGATCGTTTTTTCATTCATCAATTCGTATGAAACATCAACAATTATTAATTAATTAAACAGTTTATAGAATCAAAATAGAATAATATTGTTTGCCTAACATATAAAGCATAACTAATACCAACAATGTTGATTTAACATCGCGTGTGTATAAGCTACAATCGATCAATCAAACGCAACAGTTCATAGAACAAAAATATTATTGTATACCTTTTGCCTCGAGCTAATTCCTCGTATAAATAATCTCCTCTAACATTAATTTAATGTTAGACATATAAAAGGTACAATTCACGGAAAATTATATTACATATTGTACATGAAATTCAATTTTCTCTCCTGAAACCATTATCAAACCATCAACTGAAAAATTCCACTTGAAAATTCCATTTCACGAAAAATACGTATTGCTCTCATTACTTATCACATATTTCATTCATCTCGTCAAGAATACGAAATACTCGACGATCTGATCACAAAGTTATTATTTCCTCTCGAACCTCTCTCTCTCTCCTTCGAACAGGCTAATTCCACGTAGCCAACCGAGCAGGAAAGCTCGTCGTCGTGACGTCAGGTTCAATTCGACAAGTTCAACGAGCTTCAAAGTAAATTGCCGCCAGAGATCTTGCTTGTAAACGTGAAAGTATACAGTTAATCTCGTGAAGCCGCGAGAGAGGCGGGGATTGTGTGGTGAGGGTGGTGGTGATGGTGTTCAGGGGAAAGATATAGTAAGACAAACGACATCGCGGCGGCGGAGCACCGAGGGAAACCGGGGACACGGGACGATGGAGGAAGAAGATAAAGCGAGGAACGAGAGGAAAAACGGACAGGAGCGAAGGAAACGTTTGGTGGGATGGGTGTGGGTATTTATTCTGCGGCGAGGAACGCAACTATTTCATGGGTGTCGACTCGGATGCCGTTCGAAACAGCGACCCACCCTCATTGGAAAAGGTGCACACCCATTTACTATACCAGGAGTTCGCGACTCGAACCATCTTACCCGCTATTTATTCGCTTTTCCTCGCGATCACCGTGATTCTTTTATCTCGCCCAAGGAGAGAGGGATTCCCTCCCCTGCCTGTTCTGTTCCTCGCCGTGGAACACGCTTCCTGGCGTGTTGAATTGAAAACGGTGGATTGTAAATGATGCGGACGTGGAGTCTTTTGCCAAATGAATCATTTTTAAGAGGATAGATGGTGTTGGCAAGTCTTTCGAATGTGAATCTCTTCGATTTTTGATAAAGAATTGAGGAAACGATAGACAGATTTTGACAGAAAGAGGGAAAACTTCTTATATAATTGATAGAGTATTGAAGAAACGAGAGAGACAGATTAAAAGGAATTTCTTGATTTATTGCAAAATGGAAAAGTTCAATAATCGAATCAAAGTCTATAATATTTTTAATGAAACGGATCATTTTATCCCCAAAACAAATCAGAAACCTTCCTACATAGGATCTTTTCATTATTTCTCAACATACAGTTATTTATATCCTCTTCGAGCATTTATTCTTGGGGCAGCGAGTAAGCCATCGAACATTCTCGCGTAAAGGCGATCGAGCAGCGTGGGCAGTAAATCGTGAACAGGAGAGCAAAACGAGAAATCTGTCGATTCCAGTTTTATAAACCGTTCCACCGTCGAAACATTTCTTCTCCTGAAGGTAGGCACATGCTAAAAGCTACGTTCTCTCGGTGTTCAATAAAGAAAAACAGGGAGGGAGGGGCCAGAGAGATTGCACGATAACAAAGAAAATAGGAATGGGCGAGGGTGGAAGAGCGTGTTCCATTTATCCGGCACGAGGAGTTGGCTGCAGAGGACTCTGTGTCACGGAGACGCGAAGGAAAAAAAAAAAAAAAAAAACAATGATTCGCGTTTGTATGCTAGAATGGCTACCCAGAAATGAATCGTATCGCCTTCTATGTATCGCGACAGCGAAGAGAAATTCTTCTCTGTATTTCTTTGACGTCCATTTATCTTATTTGCCGGACACGAATCATTGGGGATGCAGGATCGAGGTCTTGGGACGAAACTTTTTAATTTCTTACGTGATTTATACTGCGTATTAGCTTTATAATGTTGGCCTCGTGAATGGGAAAGTAAATCAATTTAATTTATTCGTGTCGTCGAGCTTCAAAATAAATTAAACCTGGTATAAATTCTTAAACGATACTTCACATACTGCAATGTACTACAATAACAATGGAATACAAAAATGAATGGAAATTAATATTTTTCACAACGAGGAGAAATTGAATCCTATCTTATTACTTTGTAAATATAATGAAGAAAAGAAAAAGAAATAAGAAAATTTGTTTTCGTAAATTATATAAGAATTTGAAAAATTAGATTAAAATTTCTTTTTAAAGTTTCGACTTTATACTTTGGGAGAATCGACAGAACTATTTGAGAATCGTACTGTACGCGTTCCGCGGGTAGACAAGCGTGCCAAGCAACTTTTAGATTCGATTGCTCGGGACAAGACAATCCTTCTCGGCACACTGGTTCACCCTGAACGGGTTATATTCTCTCCTGGATGAATTTTACACGGAGACTGTTACGTGTGGCGAGTGCCCGTTTCCGGAACACGACGTTTCTTGAGAGGCGAAACTTTCTGGGACAACGGGCGTATATCTTTCAAGGAGACATTGCTATTTCTCTTCCTGTGGCCCTGCTATAAAGGAATACCATTGTCTACAAAAAAAAAAAAAAAAAAAAAA